ACCCTTAAGTGTTAGAACAATATTATATCACCAGTTGACTCAATAATAGGTTACGCCCTTGACTGCTATGGTCTTACATTTAAAACTTATATACAACAATTAGAAGCACTAAAAGTAAGATTTTTAAAATTAATTGAATCTAAAAACACCTAAAAGGGCTGTAAAGGTGATTATAACAAGCTGTTTAAAATTTGCTATATACTTCTTGTTAGTCTTAAACATAAATACCTACTTCTTACTACTTACTAATTATGGCGATCGAACACTGGATAAACGTCTAAGGTACCTTATGAACAGTTTGCTCGCTGATATTAGACATGAACCAAATAAAAGTAAATTCGCCAAATTATTAAAAACACAATATATGGAAAGCTTAACATAATTAAACATACTTCACTCAAAAGCCTTAAATATCATAATCCAAGTTTATCGTAAGACTGATCCCACAGACGAACCGTGCAAACGGTTTTGTGGGTCTACATTTGTAAAAATGCTGTATTAGTACATACTATACCTAGTAATCAAATGATTAAAAAAAACCTTGACTACAATTCAAAGCTACACCTGCAGTATTGCTGGCCAGGATAGTAGTATTTCATTTTTATTATAATTTTGTAATTGTTAGAATTTTTTTGATGTGTGAAGTTGAGAAGCCTACGAATATAATAATAATAATATACTTGAACTTAAAGAAGAAATAATTAGAATCTAGAAAATGAAAACAGTATATATCGAACCGCTGGTGCTCTCCAGTACGGGTGTAATTCCTAAACATTTACATGTTGTTCATTCACTGAGAACAATAGACTTACCTGACACCACGTACTACACTATGCAAAAAGCAACTAAATACATGCCGTATAGTGAGAAAGATTTGAATACATATAATAGCCTAATAATTCCAATGAAGTACTCTTGTACCAAAATCCTTAGGATTTTGAGAAAGTTCAAATTTAAAAATAATAATAAGTATTTATTTCAGATCAATAATCCATAGTAATTAGTTTTTATATTTATGAATACAATTAAATTTAATAATAATAACATCTAACAAATAGTATCTCCTCGATACTTAAGGGTAGTTACTTTACTGTGTGCAGTCGCATCCAGCGCCCAAGTATCGGCGAGTCTCAACAGTCTGCCAATGCACTTAAGATGCCATTGGTACTGTCACGCATGGGCTGCACCATGGAGGCACATCGCTTCCGCATGATTGTACTGAAGCTGTCAGTACGAGCTTCAGCAAACATGCCTGATGTACTACAATATCGTGGCAGCCCCATTAGCACCCTAAATGCATTATTATATTGGACGCGCAGGTCGTTGTATGTCATCTGCGTATACTTAGCCCACAAGCTGCACGTGTAAAAGGTTTGACAATACGCCTTAAACAGCGTGATCTTGACGTTGTCAGTACAACGTGTGAACCTACGAGCCAACATATTATGTGTATAATACGAACTTCTTGGATTTTTTTGTTGTAAAGTTTAGTTTGTAAGTTTAGTTTTTAATGTTACATCCTAGTATAGTTACTTTATTTTATACTAAATTAAGATAACGCAACACAATTATAATATTAGTATGGGTATGGATAGTTACAAAATTTGAATACAGAAGATGCGTATAGAATAATATGTTTATACTAGCATTGCCCGCAGCTCCGCCCGCGTTCATATGACCAAAACCAAATTCTTAGGTTTATATATTAGTATACTCTTCTTCTTCTTCTCCCCGCCCATTTCCCAAATCACTTGGGGTCGGCGCAGTACATCCCCAGTGCACTGCTGATAGGATTCGGCAAAAGCTTTACGACCGGCCGCCTGCCCGACGTCAACCCTCCTTGGGAATGCCATTGTCCTTCCCTGTCTGAATGGTGTTAAATATTATGCACTTTCGATTTTGCTGCGTTTGAAAATATTTTTTATACTGTTAATTCAATCACCAATGTTATCCTTGGATATATTTTAAAATAAATTTCGATTACACAATAAATTCTGTATTGACATTGTTATCATTTTGTTATTCAATGCTTTGAGATAATGTAAATAAAAAAAATTATAATAACAAAATATAAAATTGACAAACAATAAAGCTCATTCATATTATATATTAGTATACTCGTATTAGTATATTAGTTAACCCGGATAACCAGCTATTACCATACCAAATTTCTTCAAAATCCCTCCAATGGTTTTTCTGTGATGCGGTCACAGACAGACAGAAAGACAAAAATTCTTAAAACTATAGGTTCGGCCTTTGTTAGCGATAATAATGTGTATTTCAATAAAATTTTCCAAAAAATATTAAAAGCACAGATACTACTTCATTAAATTTCAATGTATCTATAGATGTAACTAATTTATAAAGCCAAAAATATAGTTTTTTGATAATTTGAACACGGGCGGGGCCGCGGGTAATTTAGTAGTAATTCTAATAAAATCATAAATACGTAGAATTTGTACATTTCATTTTTTGGAATTAAAACTACGTATTTTAAAGACACATGGCGACATCTATTGACAAATATCTAAATAATACAAAAATAAATATTCATTAAAATAATTTTTTTAGTGAGTAGAATAGTGCTATTGATAAACCTTTTCAAGCTTAGCTATTTTTAATAGTTTTTGATATATTTAGTAAGTTAGCTTGGTAAAATCTATATAGTATCATCGTTTTTTTATTCTTACCAGTTTTTGTATTTTTTCTCAGAAAAGATATATTTTTCTGCGGTAAAAAGTATGCTATATGTTGACCCGGATAGCGGATAACTATGACCATATCAAATTTCATCAAAATCCGTCCAGTAGTTTTTCTGTGATGCGGTAACAGACAGACAGACAAAAATTCTAAAAACTATAGATTCGGCCTCTGTATCGATAATAATGTCTATTTCAATTATAGAATATATTTCAATAAGAATTTTATTACATGTATAGATTAATATTGAGAATGTTTTTTATTATTATTACACTACAACTGAAAAACAAAAACAAATCTATCTCACGGGAACCGTACATTTTTCTGGAATGAAAGGTAGCCTATGAGCTATTCAAGACTATAAGTAATATCTCTGTGCCAATTTTGTTATCCTGGCGTGATTGATTCATAAACATCCAAACATCTAACATCTAAACATTCACATTTACAATATTTAGCGGCTTACCCTCGCTTCGTTCGGGTTCACCTTTACAACACAAAAACAAACCTATTCCACGGGAACCATGCATCTTCTGGAATAAAAAGTAGCCTATGTGTTATTCCAGACTATAATATATCTATGTGCTAAATTTCATCCAGATCCGTTTAGCCGTTCTGGCGTGAAAGAGTAACAAACATCCATACTCACAAACTTTCACCTTACTAAAAAAGGAGTTATCACGTAGAAATCGTCACGTAACGAAAAATGTTACGTAACGAATAAGGTTATTTATTTACGGTTTATTATTTACTAAGAGCATCCCATGTGACGTACGTCCCGAATGTTAAGGTGGTTGTATGCACTCTTTGACGAGGCCCTACATATATAATGAGTTATCCTTGAGGTTTGTGGTCTCCTAGTACTGGTGATAAAAGCACCAGACGATCTAAAGTGTTGAGAAGTGTATCTTGCAAGAAATCCGCGTGCGCTCTGTGCCGGCTTTTCTTCGATAAACTTCAACATTTGCGCAGGACGTTGCTCGATGTGTATGCTACCCTGGTACTCGTGACAGTGTGTATGAGCTAATGTATGAGCTAAGAGCGGACAATGAAAGGAACTTTGTTCCTACGAGTACCAGGTGTCCCGCGACACTGGCCGATTTTTTTTGAATTCATTGAGGTTAACTGAGGTATATTTTATTTTTTTACATTTTTTATATACTATTACTTTACTAGCGGCTCAATTCACTTACTAAACAGAAAAACTCAATAAATAAATTTGGCCCGACCCGGGAGTCGAACGCAGGACCTTTCGATCTGCAGCCGTACTTGCTAGCCACTACACCACCGAGGCAGTTTTACGCTAAACAATAACATAATATAGATAAGTATAGAAGAAGAAAAATAATTAAAACAAATAAGGTGTTATCTATACTAATATTGTAAATTTGTTTATTTGAACGCGCTAATCTCAGGATTTACTCAGTCGATTTGAAAAATTCTTATTGCATTAGATAGCCCTTTTATTGAGAAAGGCTATATGCTATGTATCATATAATATACTATAGTCTATCTATTCTATACTGACCGTTAAAACATACCTAGGGACGAACCCGAGCGAAGCGAGGGTAAATCGCCAGTTAACAATATGCATATTTCCTATGTTACATATAATATTTTTTCATTTGCGGTTATAAATACGTAGAGTATGTTTAAAACGATTGTAAATTAGTGCGATTCTGTCACTGCGATTAAACGCGGAATAGTGAATAATTAATTATTAATTAAAAAAAATTGGTACTTAGTGCTGAATATATGTATATGTAAAATATATTAATGATAATATAATAAATATTTTTGTTGCATCTGAGTTGACCCTCCTATAGTGAAATATTTATTTTGCATTCTGGATGGATAAGTAGTTATTATTTTGAACGTAATAAATGATACGAAGATATTTTGTTTATTTTTTATACCTAGACCAGATAAATGCACGGCTTATAATGGATTGCCATTTTACAAAGATCTATGTACCTACATATATACTACTATACTTAAAGATAAGCAGTGAATCTGATGATATTTCTAATTGACAGTATTTAGCGGTAACTTTATCATTAATTTCCATATTTTAACTTCGAAGAGAGCTACTTCTGTTCTAATTTTCATCAACGATTTAACATGAATGGTTTATGACACTTCTCAAAAATCTTTCCTAAAGCTTTCCTGTAGTTCATTACACAGTTCTACCGTAAATTAATATAAATAAAAGGATTTTAAAAATTAAACAAATATTAGATCGCACGTTAGGATTTTATTTACGCTATTTATAACATACTAATATTATTTTACTATTACTAAACAATAGGATAGAAGCCTTCCTCTAGGATATTACAGTTATTATTAAGTGTCGAGAAGAGTATATAGCCGTCTTCTCCCCAGTTCTCTCCCCAAGAGTTCTTCACTATGAAGTAAGTGGCGCCATCTCTTACGCCGTAACCGACAACAGTCACACCATGATTAGAACGACCCTGGTTGCTGAGAAATTTTTGGTGATTAAAATATATTAACCTAGCTATATGTCAAAAAATTAGAAATCTCCCTTTTACTCCCCACTGTTTTTTTCCGAAAGTACAAATTACTACAAACTTATAAGATTTACTTTTGACTGATTTCTGTACCAGCCAATGAAATATCCATTATAAATAGTCTACCAGTTCCGGATATCGGGTACAAACACCACGATAACAAACATTTCATTAGGGCCTTATAGAATTACAAATAACAAAATGAGCTCAATATGGACCTGCCCAAGAAGATTGAAAGAAAATACTTAACTAAAATATCAATATGTAGAGTTACTTACCATTCAATATCATAAAATATTCCACTCGCATAGTTCATTATTGGATTTGCATTGATAGTAACTGTAATTGGGCCATACTTGTATAGTACTAACTTCATTGCATCAACACTCATTGGCGGAATCCTCGCAAAACCTTTGATGCGGTAGAGATCCGTCATATTTTCTAGCTTACAATACCCATCCTAAAAAACAATAGTTTTTTAATAAAAAAAATTTTCAATTACAAGGATTTTTCTTTACATTACAAATATTCATTAATTTTACTGTATGAAATTGTGCAGAAAATTTAATACCTCTTCCAAATATGATCCGTAATCTCTCTCAGTTGGAATGCCATGCTCTAATATGTACTCGAAGGTACTTTTTATCATACCACCATGACAACCTCCATTAAAGTATCTGAAAAAGATTGTTACAACTTTGATTCATGAATTGAAAAAATGAAGACTATGTTCTGAGTACCAACATATTTTAATCGACGTAAGATATACTCTTCAATATGTAATGCAAATAATACAACCAGAAGAAATAATAAATGTAGGAGATAAGAGTTCAGTTTGATTAGATTAGTATAGATGATTGTTAATACTGAAGAGTGATCTAAAGGCGGGATCAGATAACCAATGTCACATAAATTTAATTGATGCCGATGACGCCTCTGTTTGGACTGCTTTTGTAAATTCTACTTCCTGCAGTTTTTGATGAAGATGAAAAGATGATGAATATAAAATATATTTACCCCCAAGAACAATCCACAAGAGACTGTTCACTTAAATCCAAAACGCGATCTCCATTGCTACGTGCTAGAGCACCTTCCACTGCTGCAGTTGTGGAAAAGGACCAGCAGGAACCGCAACTACCTTGACCTAGGAAAAATATGAAATTCTTAAATTATCCCCTCATATTCGGATAATAATCATAGCATATATAATAATCTAGCTATGAGTACGTCAAAAGAATAGTTATAAATTGTTTAACAATAGATATCATTGATAATAGATTCATTATTGTCAACCATCAAAATGTTCGTCAAAAATCTCTCAAAAATCTGAAAGATACAGTGAGCTCTGAAAGATACTTGCGTATTATATTAATAGTAGTAGTGAAGTTGTCTTTTTAAATCTACTTAGCAAATAGTAAAAATATGTTTCATACAAAAATAAGAATTAACATACTTTTGACAACGCTGATGTATCCATCAATCCTCATATCATAATTTTCAGGTAATTCTTCAGCGAGACGGTTCACTTCTTCTTCTGAATACGGGAAGGGTACAGATCCAATATGCGTAATAATTGATGGCTTAGTCGCAGTTAGGTAGGCCAATTCTTCATCAGTTCGATCGGAAAATTCATTGATTGTCTTTTTGTATGACAAATTTTTTCTATTGTGCTCTATCACTTCCCTACAAGCACATTGATATTTGTATAAGTAATCTGTTCTTTGTGTTAATAAATTATAATTAAAAAATATTTTTCAACACAAGCTTTTATAGCTTCGATCGACAATACTACTGTTGATCGAAGTTTATCTATACATATAATATATATAAAATGCTTTGTCCGGACTGACTGATCAATCAACGCACAGCCTAAGCTGCTAAGAAAGGATTTTTTGAAATTCTACCCTTCGGAAGTGAAAAAGGGGGAGCAAAGTTTGTATTGGACAACGTTATTCCTTGGTCCAATCTACTTCAAATTTTGCATAAACATTCTTTAACAGAATTGATGTAAGACGTGCTTCATATTTTATTGAAATTCATCCCCTAACGGGGTTAAAAAGCGGTGGAAAGTTATTTTGGGGGTAATTTGCTCCGAAATCGATATGAATACTCCTTAGTGCTTTTGATTTAAATTAAATTTTATTTTGATATAATTGTCCCATTCATTTTATAAAACATTAAATATATAAATTTTTATCTTTCTATTTTTAGGTCGAATGAGGTTTCAAAGCGAAAAATATTAATAAGTTGGCCGGAAAATTAGGAAATTCTGGAAAACTAAATGTGTCTTTTGATATAGGATTACTGTATGGACTATAAGTTTACATACTGAATAGTTATTAAGTCTGGACAGAGAAATGTTTGTCGGTCAGCCATAAAATAGTTCGTAAGCAATAAAACTAAGTAAAGGAAAGAAAAAGAAAATCATACATATATCAAAATTATTTTTTAGAAAATCTTATTGAAATAAATATTAATATCGATACAGAGGCCTAATCTATAGTTTTTAGAATTTTTGTCTGTCCGTCTGTCTGTCTGTTACCACATCACGGAAAAACCACTAGAGGGATTTTGATGAAATTTGGTATGATGATAGCTGGTTATCCGGGTCAACATATAGGATACTTTTTACCGCGGGGAAATGTCTCATTGCTGAGAAAAAAATACAAAAACTGCAATATAAGAGTATACTTATATGTAAAACCTAAGAATTTGGTAATCAATGCTAGTCTAAATTTAATGTGTATGTAAAATTTCAGCTCAATTCGTCTAGGATTAATGCCTTAAAATCCAGTAGCAAGATTTGACCCGAACAAACATACAAACATTGCAAGTTAAAGGAAATCTTGTAAAATGTTATATTTAGTATTTCAAAACAGCTAAAATTTTTGGTAGCTAAGCCAAAACAGTCTATATATTAGTCTTTTATGTGTAAGAATGTTTTAAGATAGTAGTCTTTGGAATAACTGAACTAATTTTAACGAAACTTTTACTAGCGGATAGAAGGTTTAAGTAACAAGCATTGAGATTTCTTATATCTGAAAAGTACTATCAGTCATCGTCCTGGCGCGTAGGTGTAATATATTTTTTATTTTTTTGTATTTAAGAGATTATTTCATTTTACGATAACAATTCTAACACATAAAGAAAGCCACCTCTGAGTGAGATATTCTTGCTAATTGATAACTCGATGTTTTAAATAATTTAGTTAACAAAAGCAAAACAGGGGCCAGAAAGTAAAGTTTTTAGAGAAAATAAATTTGGAAATCCCCGAATATGGTTATTTGAAAGTGCTTTTATATTTATACCGTATATTAATTAGGTCAGGTAATAATTATTCATAAATGTGTATAAATTTAATTTTTTTAGGCTCTAATTACGTAAAAAAGGTGTAAAACTTACCTTAAGTTGTTTTGAAATATTTTTCTTCGCATTTCGTGTTCATCGCCCTTGTAGTTCTTCTTGTGTTGTATTTTGAAACTAAAATAAAAGAGTAAATAGATGAATGATATTACTACACTCCATCTTAAGCTTGCTCTGAGTCTGACATTCAAAAAACTTATTTATTTAATCCTTTATAACAGCAAAAAAACAAGAAGGACAATTTTAAAACAATACATAACTTTACAAAATATACATTTCAGTGTAAAGCCGATCTTATCACTTAAAGTGATCTCTTCCAGGCAACCTAAACTATAAAGGTGCAGAAAACTAAAACAATATAACATACTTACTTAAAAGGTACATACTATAAATTACATACAAGTTTACATAAATTACAATAAAGAGATACATAAATATATAACATAAAGTTTAAACATTATACGTATATAGTCCACCATAAACTTACATAAATATACATAAACTTACAAGGATAAATAGTAGTCTTTAAGACGATGTTTAAACATGACGACATACATTTGACGACATATTTAGCTCAGTTTGTAATGATCCTACTTGCTGTGTCAACGGTCGCGAGTTCGAGTCCCGGGGCATTCATTTGTGATGAGCACGAATGTTTTTACTCCTGTCATGGGCGTTTATATATATATATATATATATATCTACATAGTCTTGCCCTAAATATTGCTAGTTTATAATATGTATGTATTTAAATATCTAGTATCCACAACGCAAGTGTTAATTAATGTCTCATCATATTTATACATATTATATCAGTCTAAAGCGTGCAATATTTTTCTTAATATTTATATAAAAAGACCACATTTCAGGTATAAGCTATTAAAAAATTATAAAAAACATTCATAGTTACTGAAAAGTTAATTTAAATTCACTAAGAATATACACTCATTGGGGTACCACCTTTCAAGTTGGTTAATGAATCCCTACTGTTTATCGAAGTTGTTCAAATAGTAATAATGAAAAAAAATACTTAAACTTTGTTTAAATAATTCTGTAAGTTAATAATTGTTATATAAATAAACTTAATAATATCTGAATGATTAAATTATTATTAATACCTGAAAAATGCTTCATCTGTTTCTGAAGGATATGCGTTAGCGGTTCCAGAATCTTTAATATCCATGGAGACTATCTCTTCGTCTTCGCATTCTTTGACTAAAAATTAAGCATGTATTACGTGAGTACGATAAATTGTAATTCGTTTATGAATTTATAATGTCTTACTGGCCAAGACGAGACGTTTCCCGAGGATTTTTAGATATTATTCAATGTATAATAGATATTACTTTTGCAAAATGTTTATAAATTATTGCCTTATATAATCTATACAGATAAATAAAACTGAAGTATCTGTTTGTAATGTCAACATAACAGCTTTTTACTAAATGCATTTGAAATGTATCGGTACTAATATGTTTTTTTTTTTAATTTTGTCTGTCTATCTGTCTGTTCGTTCCAGCTATTCTCTGAAAGGCAGGACTGATTTTGATTTTCATTAGCACATAGCATATAGCGAGTAACTTATGCTACCTTTATTTTAGAAAATCAAGTTCACTGCCTCGGTGGTGTAGCAGCTAGCATGTACGGCTGCACATCCGGAGGTCCTGGGTTCGAGTCCCGGGTCGGGCCAAGTTTAGTTATAGAGTCTTTCTGTATAGTAAGCCTCAGTAACAGCCCGGAGTTGGCAAGTTGACGGGTTTCACCCCCGTGCCTCGGATAGCACGTAAAAGCTGTTGGTCCTGCGCTTTAACTCTCACCGGTCGTGTCGAGTAGTCGTCCCACCAGAGTATGAGAGTGACAGGAATAGAGTGTGCCCTTGTGTCTGCACGTACACTTGTGCACTATAATATCTCCTGTGCAGTTGGCTAGTCTCAATGAGATTGGCCGCCGTGGCCGGAATCGGTCAGGAGAACATCATCATCATTTCAGAAAAAGAATTAAGGCTCCACTCAAAAAAAATCAATCGTACCTAGGAACGAACCCGAGCGAAGCGAGGGTAAGTCGCTGTAATATAATATATTCTTAAGTTACCTTTAGTAATATCAAAATCTTCTTCAGCTGGCTCTTTGACATCAAAATAACGAGTAATGCGGTGTGTCGTGAGAGCTCCACTCCATTCATTATACGTTTTCATTTCAAGCCTGTTATTTATTACGAAGAAATAATGTTTGACTAAGTGTTAGTCTTACACTAGGACCCTTAATTTAAAACCATTATTAATTAACAAACACTGTTGTATTGATTCGTAAGAGGCCCTCCATTTTATTTTCACCATCGGTGTGCAAATCCGAATAGAACTTTTTTCGTTTCGTCAGTTAGTTTTCGTCAGTCGTTCATCCAACTTATCATATGATTGCAAGAGTGACTTATTCTAGATTCACTCAGGTGCGTCTCCAGATCCCCCTCAACGTGAGTTCACCTAGTCGTGGTGGTGGGAGGGAGGGGGCGTCTCAGTTGTGCCCGGCAATAGAGCCGGGCGTGAAACCAGGAAACGCACAGAGAGGTGGCCCACTTCAACCTATCACCCCCCCCCCTCCTCCCTTCCCCTCTAATACTTCTCCGACAGCAGACAGCAGAGTGGACCACCACCACCCCTATGTTTACAGTTGGTATGCGTATAATTTCCCAATATAAAAAAATATTCGCCCCTGTGTACATAATACATACATGTACATAAATACATTATGTACACAGGGGCGAATATTTCGAAATAGATATGAATTGGTCATAATGGGATGAAACAAAAATATATACTTTACTTACCAAACGGGAATATATGAGCCCTTATCTTCATGAAGATATATCGTATTCATTTCTTTCTCCCCATATTCCAAACTGTCTGATTGCCAAACTTGGACTATTTTATTGTTGTAAGTTACTTCATCTGATGATAAAAATATTGCTTTAGAATAGAGATTCTGTGATGCAAAGAGTTGCAGTTTACTTTTTGTACTGTTATAATGTGTTGCAGTTTATAATAACAAAATTAACTGAAATATTTTATCTAGCAAGTATTTTATACCAATTATTATAATGTATGTGTATATAGTTCGAGACATAATATATTTATTAATAATGCATGGAATAAAACACTCGAAGCCATAATCCAAAGTATATCTGCGAAGAAAAACACGCACAAATTTATTTTAAATTACCTGTGTAAATAAAGGTTTCCAACGAAGGAAAAATATTTTGTGGCTCACCATCAGTATTAAAACCTGAACACGTCATTTTATTAGTGATTTCTTCTGTAGTTTTAGGATACACCTAAAAGGATAAAATTTTGAAGTAACATAATTATTAAGTTATAAGTTTTTGACCACGCAAAAACGACGGGGTGTTATAAGTTTGACGTGTCTGTGTATGTGTGTCTGTCTGTACCATTGTAGCTTCCGAACGGATGAACCGATTTTGATTTTGTTTGTTTTTATTTTTATTTTTAAGGTGAATTAGTCGGGACTAATTTTAGCTTTGTTTGATGAAAATCGGTCCATGATGGTCGGAGTTTTTTTTATAATTTTTAATTTCATTTATTCTTATCTTTTCACTGTTATTCTTCAATACAAATTTTAATAGCTTCAAACCGTGCCAGTTAAGCATAGATTGCACTTATCTTACTATTGAGCAAATTTCGGCGAAATTTGACTAGTGCATAGATTGCTTTATGGGATAAAAGATATACTAAACGTAGTAAAGATATACTATACGTAGGCCATCTTTTATCCTCACTTTGATAATCATGCGAGCAGAGCCCAGGACAATACTAATCATTTATTAAAACAATAGCATAAAAATGATTGTCTTACTAAATAACATTTGGTGACGTTTTCATCGTTTTCGCCAATATAGAAATTTTTCACCATGCCACCGTAGTAGTCTATTCTTGAACTATTGTTTTTCTGACTATACCTAAAAATAAGCAATAATAACCTGAAGTAACGGTGTAAGATAATATACCATCTATACAGTAGAGGTCGAATGTCTGTACATAGAAAAAAATGCTAAAAACTGTCTGTTGGTACGGGCTAATCTCCGAAACTGTTGAACCGATTTAAATGAAATTTTGCAAGGTGGTACCTTATATCCCCGGTCAACATTTGCAATACTTTTCACCCCAGAAAATTAAATAGTTCCCGTGGGATGATTAAAAAACTGTAGTAACTTATATACGAGTAGCTTAGCTTATGCACCTAATTTAGTAAAATTTGGCTTGTTTATTCCTTGTATTATTCCGAGAGCTGGCGACGAATTTTGGAAACATCCTTTTGGCAAGTTGAAAATGTGAAAAAATATAATTTCGTGATTTGAATTGCCGAGTCCAGTGCCGCGACTCTGGTATAGCCTTAGTGGTTATTTCCTTACGGCACAATTTATAACAGCAAAAAAAATATCCAAAAATACATATTTATGGCAACTTGATTTTTGTTTAATCTTTTAATTTAGTTTTCATGTAACTAAAAAAAAAGTACCCCAGACGTTTTGGTCGGTTATACAGTATTGCCAGACCCCTCCAAAGATACTTTATTAAAATTCCCAAAAATATACTTTTTGTTAATGTTATATACTACACAGTAACGAAATAACCACTAAAGCTATACCAGACTCGCGGGACTGGACTCGCCAATTCATGAAATTATATTTTTTCACAATTTCAACTTACCAAAAGGACTTTCCTAAAATTCGTCACGAGCTCTCGGGCTATATTGCCGATCAAACAACAGGTAACTTTTTATGCCGGAAAAATTAACGGTTCCCGTGGGATGGTCTGTTTGTGCTTTTCTAGAGACGAACGCGAGCAAAGCGAGGGTGAGGCGCTAGTATTAAATAAATGAACCAAATCTGTACATTAAATAATTTTTGAAATTTTTTTGAAAGTCATTATTGTCGATACACAAGCCGAATCTTTCTGTTTTTCTGTGACCACATCACGGAAAAAATTGACTGACTCACTGAACGTATTTTGATAAAATTTGGTACGGTGATAGCTGATTTTCCGGGTCAACATACAAAATACTTTTTACTACGAAAAAATATCTTATTTCTCAGCAAAATATTATTGTTTGGCTTCTTATTGATTTTCTACGACGCTCTGTCCATATTATACCTTAGTCTGAATCATCTTACCAACTATACAATAATTACATATTTATCATATACATGTATTTTATGTAAGCACATATATTTCGTGTATATATTATATTTATTCTACAATACTAGGATCAATTTGCTATTAAAATAACTTTCTAATCTATACATACGAGTATAATAAAATTCTAACTGAGTCAAATCTGTACATTAACTATTTTTTGGAAAATCTTATTGTATTAGTCATTATTATCGATACAGAGGTCGAATCTATAGTTTTTTGAATTCTTGTCTGTCTGTCTGTCCGTGACCGCATCACGGAAAGCCACTGGAGGGATTTTTATGAAATTTGGTATAATGATAGCTGGTTATCCGGGTCAACATATAGGATACTTTTTACTGCAAGAAAATATCTCCTAGGATCGAACCCGAGTGGAGCGAGGGTGAGTCGCTAGTTCGTAAATAGTTATTAGCTATATTAAAAAAATCTTACCATGCTTCGAACGGTTTTAGTACCCCTGACATCAAGTCCATCGATTCACCCCTTAAGTGGTACTCAGTAATGATGTCGGCATCTTTGCTGCCATCTGTATAGAATATAATAGTTTATTAAAACAACTAATCAGAACAATGGGACTGTCTACCGGGTCCGCTAATATAATATAATTAAAAAATTGATTTTTTTTAATAAAGCGTTCCAACAAATGGATAAAATTGATCTATTTTATAATATTTCTAGGAAATAATCTATACATATTATCATAAAATTGTAACCAAGCCGAATCTGTGTATTAAATATTTTTTGGAAAATCTTATTGAAATAGACATTATTATCGAAACAGAGGCCGAATCTATAGTTTTATGAATTTTTGTTTGTCTGTCTATCTGTGACCGCCTCATGGAAAAACCACTGGAGAGATTTTGATGAAATTTGGAATGATGATAGCTGGTTATCCGGATCAATATATAAGATTCTTTTTACTGCGGGAAAATATCTCATCTCTAAGAAATCTATACTAACGTTGAAACGTAAGTAGTGATGAACCCGAGCGGAGCCAGGGTAAGTCGCTAGTAAATAAATAAAGTACTAAATAATAATTACCCAATACATGAGAAAAAGTTATATGAAAGGCGAATATTAAAAATAACAGGATGCAGCCGGACGCCATCGCGACTAGATACATACGATAAGTATCATAGAACTGCTATTAGAAAAGGCTTTTATATGGATTTTAGATACTTATTACTAATAACAAAGCTGCGTATATAATGTTTTATTTTTTGATGTGAACAATATTTTCTTAATAACAACATACATTATTCATATCCATACTAATATTATAAATGTGAAAGTGTGTTTGTTTGTTTGTCCTTCTTTCACGTCGAAACGGAGTGACGGATTGGCGTGATTTTTAAGTGGGGATAGTTAGAGGGCTGAAGTGTAACATAGGCTACTTTTTACTTTTTTTTTGAAACTATCTTTTTAGAGATTTTTTTAGTCTTAGCGCGAGCGAAGCCTCGGGTTCAGCTAGTCATATAATACTAGCGACTCACCGTCGCTTCGCTCGGGTTCGTCCCTAGCTTGCTTCCCCATACAAACTTTCATCCCCATTCCTTAAAGGATAATTTCCGTGATAAAAAGTATTCTTTGTCCTTCCCAGGGTCTCAAACTATCTTCTTACCAAATATCATCTAAATCGGTTTAGTAGATCTAGAGATTACCCCGTACGACGTCATAAACTCTATATTAAATAAATTGATGTATTATATATGAAAAAAACCATCTTATAGAAATATCACTCAATAGGTTACGACGCGGTCGCGTTTCCATACCTACGAGTATTTCGTATTATCTCTTTATCTATTTGTCCAAATTATATTTTAGACGATAAATTTACTTATTTTGATAAGAATTCATAATTGTTGAAAATATGACAAATAAACATGACCTACCGATTTAAATTATTTTTAATATAAAAAAATACTTGTTGTGACTCAAAAAATAAAAGTTAGACATATGCTGTCGTGAAATTTTTTGTAGGTATTATTAAGCTCTACAACTTTTCTCTAGAGTATAATCATATATCTCTCATCGTTAAGGCAGCGTTCGTAAGAAACGTTTTCGTTCGACCGTTTTTTCTCCGACTTACTTTGCAAATCCGACTACCATGAAAAAGTCGTTTTATTCTTCGGGTTAATATATAGCCTATGACACTCAGAAAGAATGTATCTTTCTATTGGTAAAAGAATTTTGAAAATCGGTTCAGTAGATCCAGAGATTACCCCCTACAACATCACAAACTCACAATATCACAAACTTTACCTCTTTATCTACCTATAGAAATAATAACATTAATTGAACAATTCTTGTATATATATTTCGTGTATCTCGGAAACGGCTCTATTTGGATCAAATTCTGTTTTTAGATAAACTTTTGCTTTTTAAGTGTATCGTAAGTAGGAAAAAACTAACGACTTGAAAAAAAGGACTTCCTCATTAAAAATATTTTTTTTTGTGTATTTTTTAAAGTGGCACATAATAGCACACACTGGGCACATTTCAGCACATTTTCTATTTCTTAGAAACTTCGATCAATACTAATTATTGATCGATGCTTAGAAATTCGAAAATTGCGGGGTGGACTTTACGGACATGAATATTTAACACTAGCGGCTCACCCTCGCTTCGCTCGGGTTCGCCTCTAGAAAAACACTAATAGAGATCTATTAGTTTCCACGGGAACCGTTCATTTTTCCGGAATGAAAAGTAACCTGTTTTTTGACCTGCAATATAAGGTATCAGAATGTTAAATTTTACTTAATTAGGTGCATAAGTTGTATAAGTTATTATAGTTTTTTAACTATCCCACGGGAACTATTTAATTTTCCTGGATAAAAATATCTAAGATGTTGTCTGGGGATATAATGTACCACCATGCAAAGTTTCATTTAAATCTGTCCAACAGATTCGGAGATTAGCCCGTACAAACAGATAAACAGACAGGGAAACAAAAAAATTGAAAAAAATCTGGATTTGTTCTATTTGTCTTTTTACATCCCCCTGACTCGGTTTTTAGCATTTTTTTGCTATTTATAGACATTCGACCTCTACTGTTTTATTATAGTATAGATTTTCACAAATAAAGAATCAAAATAAGTCCACAAAAATCCAAAAGGATAGTTTGATTAAAAATGAAAAATGTTAAAATTTTAAATTATAACAAATCTTTATTCATAAATTTCTAAAATATTTCGTAAATCTCATTAGGGTAATTAATTTTTAGGGTTTCGTCAAAAAATAATTGTAGATCGTATAACTGCGCTAGTAGTATATTTCATTCCTATTTATAAATTATCTATACATTATTATAATAAAATTCTAACTGAGCCGAATTTGTACATTAAATATTTTTTGGATAAAAACTTTTTCACAAAAAAATAAAAACCGACTTCAAACAAAAGCACTAAAAAGTAAAAAATAACTGATTGGTAGTTTTCATTTACTATACATACGTAATCAAATATTTTCGAAGTCGGTATGCTTTGCTTTTTATGGGCTGGCACCGATTTCGAAAATATTTGATTAGGTATGTATTTAATAGGTAGGCTTTAATTACTTAGCCAAAGCACACCGACTTCGAAAATATTTGATTAGGTATGTATAGTAAATAAAAACTACCAATCAGTTATTTTTTACTTTTTAGTGCTTTTCTTGACGTCAGTTTTTTTTGTCAAAAAGTTTTTATTATTTCCTTTTTAGTGTAGACATAGTAGTAGCAAAGTAAGAAGAAAGTATTTTAATAAAATATTCGCTTAAACCGTTGAAGTTACTTTTATGCCAATTTTTATACGAAAACTTATAAACTAAAATTCGCATTTATTAGTAACACAAAAAATTCTGACTCTAAAATCCGATTCTAATATGTTAAGTTTGTCGAATCAAACAAAATAAGCCCAAACTCAAAGTATCTACTATTAGCCGTTGAAGAGTTTGACCTATCCACCTTCTGGCCCTACCATCAGATCTGGTCAACAATACCGAACCACTGTACTATCAAAGGAAATAGAAATACTTGCAAAGTTATTTTTTTTTTGAAATTTAGATGGGACCAATCTGGAAGTATACACTTTCAAACAACACAAAAATTGTCCAAATCGGTTAATAAACGACGGAGTTCTGAGGTAACAAACATAAAAAAAATACAGTAGAATTGAGAACCTCCTCCTTTTTGAAGTCGGTTGAAAATCTTATTGAAATAGACATTAATATCGATACAGAGGCCGAATCTAATTCTTGTCTATCTGTCTGTCTGTCTATCTGTCTGGTTATCTGTCTGTCTGTCTATTTGTTACCGCATCACGGAAAAATCACTGGAGGGATTTTGATGAAATGAAATTTGGTATGATGATAGCTGGTTATCCGGGTCAACATATAGGATACTTTTTACTGCGGGAAAATGTCTCATCTCTGAGAAATCTATACTAATCGTTAAAATATAAGTAGGGACGAACTCCAGCGGAGCGAGGGTGAGTCGCTAGTTATCTATAAAAGTAAGAAAAGTGTAACTGGTCGCGGTGTGTACATGTAAGATGTTTGAGAAAAACTATTATTGTGGGTCTTTATTGACACAATAGAACTTAAAACAATGATTTGTAGATTTTTTGTCAGTTTATCTGTGTGTTTGTGCGCGCTTATTTCAAAATTTATAACCTAGACCTCATCAGTGCTTTTCAGCGTTGATTGTCGTCAAGCGCAAGCCTATTTAAAAATAAAAAAAAATGGAATTGGGTGCGGTTTTCACTAATGTATTATAGTAAGCTTCATTTTAACACTGGTTTATTTCAATCGGTACATAAATAAGAAAGTTGTGTCAATTTAAAGTAACACCTAGGGACGAACCCGACCGAAGTAAGGGTGAGTCGATGGCGAGGCCATATCGATACTAATATAACAATATTATGTTTTTGGCCTTTTTAGTTTTCTCAAGCAGCATTAGCTATGAATTGACTTGTTCTTTTCAAAGTGATTTCTAATGGGACGAAAAGTTCCTCAGAGTTTTGTGAGTAATTTAAAAAGATATATGATAAGTTTTTTACGAAAACTCGATATTACTATATTTTTTTTAGGAAGTTCAAGTACCACGTTCCTGTGTTAAAAATTACCCATATGGCTCGTCACTTTGCCACTCTGGATAGCTACTTCTAACTCTCACGCGTGCGCCCATGCCATACGCATGCGTACGCGCGAGTGAAACCAAAGGTTTTAGTAATAAATAAAATAATAAATCAATACTAGTGAACCCGATCTCTTTAACATTTATTTATTATCATGCTAAACGTAAATAATGGTTATCAAAAACGTTAATTTATAATTTTTTGTTACAAAATTATTCTTATCAATAAGTATGTTTACATTTTGGAACATTTTTTACATTCTATTGTTAATTGTTAACTAATCATATTAATTATATTATTGTGACTTTTAATATGTGTGATATTTTTAACCAAAATAAATTAATGATATACCTTTTAATTAAGATCATGAGGAACAGTGTTTGATTGAAAGAGTGCTTGATTTGGCGTTCCG